AATGAAACGCGACAATAGATCGGTTGTTGAGTATGCTCGTTCCTTCAAAGCAATTTGTGATCAACTACATGCAATTGGTTGTCCAGTTGATGGTACTGACAAGGTGCACAGGTTTCTCCGCGAGCTCGGTACTGATTTCTCTAGTTTCTCCACAGCACAAATGGCCCAAACTTCTCTGCCCTCATTTGCAGATTTAGTCTCAAAGGTCGAAAGTTTTGAAATTTTTCAGAAATCCCTTGACTCATCTTCTCCAGCAGCGACAGCCTTTACTGTCACAAAAAATTCCACCCATCATGGTGGCTCTTCTCGTAGTCATCGGGGTCACTTCGGTGGACGTGGCAGCAGTTCATCTGGTCGTGGACAAGGACGCTCCAACTACAGTCAATGGCATCGTCCACCAAGATGCCAGATTTGCAGGATGGATGGCCACTTTGTCGATTGGTGCCTTCAACGCTATGATCGAAATGAGACACCAGCTCACCTTGCTAAAGCCTTCACGAGATCTTGTTCTCTAAATGAAGATGTGGGCTCTGACTGGTATTTGGATACAGGGGTTTCAGCCCATATGACCATGAATCACTCTAAATTGGATCGGGCCACAAACTACATGGGTAAGGATTGTGTGGTTGTTGGGAATGGTGCCTCACTACCCATTACCCATACTGGTAAAATTTCCCCTACCCCAAATCTACATCTTCTTGATGTCCTAGCTGTACCTCGCCTTACCAAGAATTTACTTTCCATCAGTAAATTAACATCAGATTTTCCTTTATCCGTTACCTTTACTAATAACATATTCACTGTACAGAATCGCAAAACAGGAAGGGTGGTGGCAACCGGCAAGCATGATGGAGGCTTATATGTCCTTGAGCGAAGTCATTCTACTTTTATTTCTGTTCTTAAAAATAAATCGCTTCGTGCGTCCTATGATTTATGGCATGCACGACTTGGACATGTCAATCATTCTGTTATTTCTCTATTGAATAAAAAAGGCCAGCTTTATCTTACATCTTTGTTGCCTTCTCCAACTTTATGTGGCATATGTCAAATTGCTAAAAGTCATCACTTACCTTATTCTCGAAATGAATATAGGTCATCGAAAACACTTGATATTATCCATTGCGACATTTGGGGTCCGTCTCCAGTCAAATCTAATTTAGGATTTGTCTATTATGTCATTTTTATCGATGACTATTCTCGTTTCACGTGGCTCTATCCTTTAAAATTGAAATCTGACTTTTATAATATTTTTATTCAATTTCAAAAATTTGTGGAAAATCAATTCTTCACTGGAATTAAAATTTTCCAAAGATTTTTGGAAAATCAATTCTCCACTGGAATTAAAATTTTCCAAAGTGACGGCGGTGGTGAATTTACCAGTAATTTCTTCCAAGATCATCTCCGCTCTAGTGGCATTCACCATCAGCTCTCATGTCCATACACACACGCCCAAAATGGTCGTGCTGAAAGAAAACATCGCCATGTAACTGAGATGGGATTAGCACTCCTTTTTCGCTCCCACTGATGATCACTTTCTGGCTGTTAAACGCATCCTCCGCTATGTTAAAGGCACCATTCACTATGGCCTACATTTTCGCCCTTCCACTTCTCCTGGTGCTTTTGTAGCCTATCCTGATACTGATTGGTCCGGCTGCTCGGATACTCGTCGTTCGACCTCTGGTTATTCTATCTATCTTGGTGACAATTTAGTTTCCTGGAGTGCCAAGAAACAGCCGACTGTCTCTCGTTCCAGCTGTGAATCTGAGTATCGTGCCCTTGCCTCCACTGCCGCTAAACTCATCTGACTCACACATCTCCTGCATGACCTCAAGGTATCCATGCCTCAGTAGCCCACTCTCTTATGTGACAACAAAAGTGCTATTTTTTTAAGCTCCAATCCGATTTCACACAAGCGGGCCAAGCATGTTGAATTGGACTACCACTTTCTTCGTGAGCTTGTTGTCGCGGGAAAACTTCATACACAATATGTCCCATCTCATCTACAAGTTGCTGATATCTTTACCAAGAGTGTTCCTCGACCTCTATTTGAGCTCTTTTGTTCCAAGCTCCATGTCCGATCAAATCCGATGTTGAGCTTGTGGGGGGGTGTTGGAAATAATACTGTGATTGAGGATATTACTCCTCAATCACAATCTTCCCATAGCATGCCAATGCCAATCACGTAAATGAAGGAGGCTAATTTACACGATTTTCATTTCATTGTAAATTATTGATTTGTATTCCATTTATACCATCTTGTAAAGCTTTATATAATGCAATACGATACACCACTGAAATTAAGGTGGATTTTAATCATTCTTACAGGCGAGCACACAAAAAGGCATACAAATAAATACTTTAAAGAGGAAAGGTACATGCATTGACGTCAAAGTTTAATATTTTGAAAGATTAATCGTTCAAGTTATTTCATGTACACATGGAACATAATTTATTTATATATATATGTGCCCAGTGTAGTATGTGCATTGCAAAGAAATAGGGATGAAGTTAACTTTGGTTTGGGGGCAAAGAAAAAGCAAAAAACTTTATATGCATATTTTGAAAAAGAGGCAAATTGAAATAATAATAATAATAATAATAATAATAATAATAATAATAATAATAATAATAAAAAAATTATCAAATTAAAAGTTTGTTAATTTATATGAATTTAAGTAGTTATTATTTTATATATTCATTGGGCCTTAAAGGATCTAAAAAAAATTATTATCTTATACATTTAACGGGGTTATTAATTTAGTACACTAATGTAAGTCAGGATCCAAGAAATTTATTATTTAAGCGAGATTATTAATTTATTATATATTCATACCCAATCAAGACCAAACTCTTATCATGCTTAGGCATACTTAATATCAATGAGATCGCAAATTTCTCAGATATATCTTAATTAAGCATGCAGTCCCGAAATATAATATTAGAATCCAATATTGCAATTCAACTAGTGGCTCGATTAGTTGAAATGTTAATCAGACAGTAAATTCAGCTTTCAAATGTCAATTTAGTTATAGGCATACTCCTACTGACTATTAATTAGAATTTCTCACCAGACTAATTTTGACAGGGTGCAATTAGTCTCCAGAACTTGTACACAGATCAAGAACCCCAAGACACTCCCTACAGCCATCGCAGGGCAACTCTTACCCGATAAGCCTTCTAAATTAGGCTTATTTTCAGTATCACACAAATCAGACCGCACAAAATTGAAAGTCAGCTTTTTTCCATAGACCGATGGACATTTACAGATTAAGATAAAATCAACCAAGAGACCTTGAGATAGTTGCAAGATCAATCTTGCTACACGTACACCAAAGCTTACATAATGATTTACATAATATCACATGACCCTCTATCACTAAGCAGTTTAAAACACGATCAGTTTTTCCATCCAATCATTTCCCTCCGACTCACTTTCTGGCATTGCCTTACCATTTCTTCTGGCAAAGGAGATTAGGCCGGTAGGTGGGTAGGCTTCTATCCAACTAGTAGGACATGCAGTTCCCCCCACCTTTCACCTGCTTTTTAAGACCGAAAAGTTTTTTTGGACTTCATCTCATACTTCTTTGGCACCTACGGTAGAGATCGAAGGTATTTGGTACTCGCGACCAAGGAGGGATGACCGACCTAACACAGGCTTCGTTGTACCCTGCCTACTTGTCTTTAACCAACCTATTTGTACCCAACCATCATTATGGGAATGCACACGAGGTAGAAAAATTACGCCAATCCATTGAAATATGAGATGTATGTGGTCGAAATTATTGTCCCATTGACCATCCCACCAAAATGAAGAGATGATGTGATGAGGTGTCGAAATTGTATTGGTGGGATAGTCAAAGGAACAACAACTTCAAGAAAGATATCTGAACTCCTTGACATTAAAAGGCTCTAATACCAGATTTGTTAGGATTTCCACCAAAGCAATATGTACATTAAGCAGAAAAGTAAAAATAAAGTAAAACTCAAATACTGCAACCAAGGTTAATGTTCTCCTTTGAAGTTCCAAATGTGTACACCGAGTTTGGGCTCAGATTATTGCCACTAGAAGCCACCACATAAGCCATTCTAGAGACTGGCGATAATGCTTCACCAAGAACGCAAAATATCCCTCAAAAACACCTTAAACCAGAACCCTCTCAAAGACACAAGTATGCTGTTCACACAATACCTCTCAAATCTAAAGTAGGCTAAACGTATAGCATCACTGCATTTTTAAATAGGCAAGTGACTTAGCCATCGATCCTCAAAAGCAAAACAAGAAGATTTGAGAAGAGGAAGAATGTAACTAAGAGAGAATAGAAAGTCCCAAAGGGGAGGGAGAACAAACTAACTGAAAGAGACACGGGAGAAACTGAAGGGCTATTTACCTCAAAAGAACAAATTTTGGACATCGATCTAAATCAATGGTTAGTGAAACACACGCTTACAGTAACATATCTAAAAATGTTAAGATCGCAACCATATTTCTATTCTCAATGTTTCCTAGATTATCACTTCATCAAGGTACAGGCATATAAAATTGGAAGCCATGTCGTCCATCCATCAACCTTAGTTGCTAAAGATGCAGTTTTCTGCATAGATACTCCGATGACCAGTTAACCAAAGTTTGCCGGAAATTGTTATCAAATAGAGAACTACAAGATCAGGTGTTATCACTCAGGTAAAAAATGACGAAATGCTCATATTGAATAACAAATACCACGAGCTAAAGTGATGCATCATATGTACAAACAGATATATCCTAGGATTCCATCGGACAAAGATTGGCCATTGAGTGCAAAGGCAGAAGGGAGCTTGACTGCAAGACCCACCCATCGAGCAGGGACGAAAGTCGGCCTTACTAATCCAACGGAAACCTTTGACCGGATTTAAGCTTGCAGAAGAGACGGGGGATAAGCAAGCAACCTTTACTATTATTTCCCTTATATCCATTGATTGAACAAAAATCAGAAACTCCAATGAAACTAACACGTGGAAAAGAGAGTACAAAAAGTTACACGATTGACAAGAGAATCCATACAGGTCTAATAACACAGATAGCATACAATTCCATGTTCAAACTTCAAACAAGCTTGACTCTCTTTATTATGCAGGTAGTGACACTAGCTATTGCATACCAAACATGCACTCAGTGAATAATCCAAGATAGCAAACTTACAGGCAAAACTAGCTGTATCTTCGGTACACAACATTGGACAAGACTTTACAATACTAAATATTAGAAATAAGGATAAATCTTTTTCACAGTATTGTCCAGTCTCCAATAGTACTGCTTACGGAGAATCCTGCAAAGGAACAACAGAGTTAGGTTAAAAAGAGAACACTCTCCGCAGGTTGACTGGTTCAGTAGCAGAGCCATTTGTCTCAACAGAACAGGTAGCATAAATGTTCAAGTTGGATGTGCACAATGCCCGATTGCTCAGTTTCAATCTCAGAGTACAGGTATGTATAGCAGGTACATGGATATTCCAAATCTTCACATTATAGATAAGAGTTGTCATCAAATGAAGATTTCCATAAAAAAAGCAGTCAGGATAATGCAATGAAGCCTTTCTTCATCTGTAAGAATTTTTATCTCTGGATAGAAATCTACAGAGAGATAATCGAGAGAAGATATGATTACATGTCTGTGTGGCTATGCCATTTCATTTAACCGCCCTTACACCAACAGTTCTAACGCGAAAACGGTATTGAGGCAGAGACTCCTCTTCGTCGGGGTCATCATCTTCTTCGTCACTAGAGTCATCTTCAACTCTGTCCCAACGCGAGTAATCAAGCTGAGAGTGCCCTTTCGGTTTTGGTATTGCCTGCCAGCCTGACTGTTGATCGGATGGCTTTTGCATGCTCTGAATTTTGGAGGTAATAGCTTCCTCTGTTGGAATGGCACTTTCACATGCAGCTCTTTGCTGGCTTGCCCCTCCTGATTCCATTACATCTTTTTCTTGACTTTCACCAACCTCTATCTCTTTTTCACCATGTTCTTCTTCCTTATTTTCAACCAATTCATCATCCTCTTCTAGTTCCGCCTCATCTTCAGGTATTGGAGCAAGTGACTTTCCTTGAACAAAACACACCATTTTTTAGACAGAGCACCATAATTTTTGCTTAAAAGGCATGGAACATTGAATATTGTAAATCATCTTTTACGCAACTATATTGCGTGAGACGACTAACTTCAGTCAATTTCATGTGATCTACTAATAAAACTATATAGAAGGAATTTATAGAGAAGTGTTCCTCTTTTGAAATACTTATGCCATTGCAAGATATACAAGCACGTTAAATCTCTAAGAAGCATTCAAAATTCTCCAGCAGCCCCCAAGAAAAATTCCCCCTAGAAAAAATCTCCACATACAGAAAGTTATCACATTTGCATTTTAGAAAGAGACAAAATAGAGATAGACGTGAGGATCTTAAATGTTCTCTAAGAAACTTGATAATGCCAAAGTACAGAAGCAAATATTTGTTTAGAATGCAATTAATGGCAATGACAATGGTCGGGAACATGGAAGATATATTGAAGAATTAGGGGCAGCCAAGCTTTTAAAGCAGCGATTCCATAACAGGAAAAGTATGAATAAGCAGGATATCTGTTAAACAGCATTGAACAGAGGAATAAATGCAAAAGCAGAATAAAGGACAAAGGAGTGACTACCAATTGTGACTTCAGACGGGCTTGAAGATTTTTATACACTTCTGAAGATGGGTTCAACTCAATGAGCCTGTTGACATCAAAAAGTGCTGAATGGTACTCCTTCAAGGTGACTAGGGTTTGGGCACGCAACATCAATGCTCCTGTGTGCTTGTGATCAAGCTCGAGCACTGAGGTACATTCTTCTGATGCCTGAAACAATAGATAGAAAAACAGGGTAACATTACCATTTATCCCATAACAAGTCAATCAAGGTTCCTGTTTTCTCTTTTGCACCTGAATGTAAGCCGACATGCAACTAAAGAGTAAATTTTAGACAGCATAAACATAAAAACTTGCAAGTAGCAACAGGTCAAGAAACTATATTTAGAAACACCATCCTAAATGCATAAGATTAGATTGGAGTATACAAAATGAAAAGGTTATATAAGGATTCTATGTGATTGAGAAATACTTATCAAGTTAAAAGTTAAGTTTCACTCAATTGTTGTTAGTAAACTGAATGCAGAAAAATTATGTTCTCAACAGATGAGGAACTATACTAGAATGAGTAGTATAAGAAATGAAGAAATGCACCAACAAGTGGCACCGATGACATCAGAGGACAGCTCTAGAGGTACACATTTAGGTATTACGGACATGCCTTATTAGACCTACAAAAGTTCTATTCACAGGAGCAATGAAATCAAACTACAAAATATTAGAAAACTGATATCAGGATAACATGTAGAAATTTGGTTGCAAGAGACTTTCTTTAAGCCTATAAGTGTAGCTTTGGATCAAGTGGAGTGGAAAAAAGATTATTGTAGTCAAACCCTGAATTTATTGGAAATAAAGCTGAAATTGTTAAATTTAAGCCCCTGTTTGTTGCCCATTATTTGGAAAGTTAAAAAGTTCTGAATGGTATTTTTTAGAGACTATATGATTAAAAATTAAAGAAACTTTATTGGTTTATGTGTAGAATATTTTATTGTGTCAATGTACGATGAAAAATGATACTGTAACAAACAATTTAAAATTTTAAACGGTGCCAAACTGGCACTAAAAATCGTTCCCACAGGAAACAAAAAGAATAATGTGAATTTTTCTCTGGTTCAGGGGCAGTGGTATGGAAGTTCCTTAATCAATCCTGCACCAGCTATTGTCATTCACTAAAGGTGCAACCATGAGGAATGTCGTAACATTTTTCCAATTTCAAATTCCATTATGCAGTGTTATTATGAACATTCTGATATCAATCTACCACCCCCACAAAGATAGGCTTTCAGTTCACAAGTGCACGCACGCACAAGAGCGGGAGTGGATGACTGAAGACCTGCTTAATAAATCCAAAATTCATTTAATAATATTGTAAAAGGGATAATCCCAGGCAATGATGGTACGCGCAAAAGGTAAAACGAAACTCTTTTAATTCTATCCAAGTATAGGAAACTCGTCATTACGCCTTTATCATAAGTTACATGCGACAAAGAAATATGCCAGGTGGCTTAATATCAACATCATCATAAAAAAGATATCCATTTCCAAAATATGACCATGTCCACAGTTTATCAGAGCACTGCCACCAAAATCATAATGTGAAACCGGTTGCATTAAGTGCTTTGAGCTGATGTATCAAGACGCTCATAAGATGCATTAAATGCAAATTGAACCATCTCTCGAGTACTCTTGGATGACGTGCCACATAGCTAATTAATAGTACTAAACATATATACAAATCAGCAAAACAGACAGTAGTTCACTTGTGCACTTGAGTCAGAGGTAAAAAATTTGTTCCATCACGAAGATGAGACCTTAATCAGTCTTCACGATGTTATACTGTAATAGTCACCTTAACTGCTACAAATAATAATACATCTTACAAAACTTTTTTTACAAATTTAAATCCAACTGGACTAGGCTTTATTTTATTTGCTTCAATATTTCATTATAAATTACAATCTTTATTCCTTTCCAAACTCTAGTTGTACTAATCACAATAAGTTACAAGCATTTGTATCCTTCCTACATGTGTATACATTGAAAGATAGTTCATTTTTCAATTTTTTGGACAACCAAACTCCATCCACCAATAAAACACAAAGAATTCAATATTTTTTTCTTCTTTGCCATCATTGCCTCTACATGGCAAATTAGTCCTTTCGAATTGTAACAAGAAAAACACAGAGAGTTGGCCTAAACTTTCCATGTCCAAATAACCTTCAAGAATTTGTAAGTCTCAACTTTCAAGAGACTTAAAGCTAAAATTCTAAAATCAATCTAAAAACACTTGCATCCGATAACTAACTTAAGAGAGCCGCAGTCTGATTTTTCAGCCAGTATATCCCAGAGTCGAACAAAAGGCCTTCTTCAAAGCATTTATTAAAATCGAGAAGTTTGCATACACGAATTATTTGGATTCAATTTTCAAATTTCCAGAAAAAAAAACAAAAAAAGGGAAAAAAAAAAAGAAAAAAAGAAAAGAAAAGAAAGGAACCTTCTTGAAATCGTGGAGTTTGAGATAACACGCGGCACGATTGCTGTGAAGGGCAACCCTTTGGGGCTTGATCTTGGCCATAGAAAGCGCCTCGGTGTAAAAATCCAGCGCTTCCTCGTACTTGCCTTCTCTGTACATCTGGTGAGCCCTCTCGATCTTATTCACAGTTGGTGAACCGGATGCCATAGCCAAAAACAAATCAACCTGGTAAAGAATCAAATCAAATCAATAAAATAGTTATACAAATTTATTGAGAAATTTCGGGTGGGATAAGAAATCAGCGACAGGGTGAAGGTATCTGGATTCTGGGCGAAGAAATAGAGAAATATTTGGGAGGAATTATAAGGTTTCTCTCAACGTGGTGAATAAGGGCAACGGGACTTAGATGTTCGAACATTTTCGCGGAGAAAATGACAGCTTTTTTGTTCAGACATTTGAAGTTTGGACACGCATTTTGTCTCCAGTTATCCTCTTTCTGGGCCGTCCAAGTTGCCAATCTTTTAATAGTTACAAAATTCTTATAGATGACAAAATTCATATTCGCATATGCCTTTATCCATTACTAAACGTAAGGAGCAAAAAGGGAATGCACAATCTTGAAGACTTCGATGTGTTTGTTATAGTGATCACATGCAAATATCCAAATAAGATATTTATTTTAGTAGATCGATCAATTCCTAAGCCTGTTGAAGACGAGCTACTCTAATAATACAACATATAATGCTTGTATGAAACTTTGCAATAGCTTACACAATGACATTGTTGCTCGATCAACTATCATACTTAGGTCAAATGAAGTGATGCCATAGCCAAAAACAAATCAACCTGGTAAAGAATCAAATCAAATCAATAAAATAGTTATACAAATTTATTGAGAAATTTCGGCTGGGATAAGAAATCAGCGACAGGGTGAAGGTATCTGGATTCTGGGCGAAGAAATAGAGAAATATTTGGGAGGAATTATAAGGTTTCTCTCAACATGTGGTGAATAAGGGCAACGGGACTTAGATGTTCGAACATTTTCGCGGAGAAAATGACAGCTTTTTTGTTCAGACATTTGAAGTTTGGACACGCATTTTGTCCCCAGTTATCCTCTTTCTGGGCCGTCCAAGTTGCCAATCTTTTAATAGTTACAAAATTCTTATAGATGACAAAATTCATATTGGCATATGCCTTTATCCATTACTAAACGTAAGGAGCAAAAAGGGAATGCACAATCTTGAAGACTTCGATGTGTTTGTTATAGTGATCACATGCAAATATCCAAATAAGATATTTATTTTAGTAGATCGATCAATTCCTAAGCCTGTTGAAGACGAGCTACTCTAATAACACAACATATAATGCTTGTATGAAACTTTGCAATAGCTTACACAATGGCATTGTTGCTCGATCAACTATCATACTTAGGTCAAATGAAGTGGTGTACTAACCTAATATCAGCTATATGTACTATTTATTGATAAGTAAGTCTTTTTAAAATCTTCATGTGGGTTGTATATATTATATAGAGTTTATTAGACCATTCAATTAGAAAAGACATTATGATCCTTAAGTAGCATTATATTCTATTGTATAGAAAAACAGTTTCGATGAATTGCATCTTGATCCAACCTAATATTTAGGAATAATTGCAGCAAAAGCCTCAAACCCAGTGGTGGATCCAGAGGGCGGCTAGATAGGACGGCCGCCCTAGCTGGATCCGCTAGGAATTTTTTTTTTTTTTTTTGCTAGTAATAGATTAAATTTTTAACTCATATTATTGATAATTGATTTTATTTTCAAACATCCCCGTAGTTTACCTGGTGAGAGCCAATCTTAATATATTTCAAGTCTTAGGTTCGAATCTTTGTCAATGGACTTGTTATGTATTATTTTTATTCTATAATTTTTACCAAAATTTAATAAGGGAGGGACAATGAGAATTTGAACTCATGATCTCAAGCAAGGGTTGTGGTGAACTTAACTATTATACCCCTGTTTGATCTCCATTAAATTAAATTACATTCCATTCCATTTTTCTCTCTTCTATTTTCAACCACACAATCTTCCATAAAATAATATTATAAGTAAATCGAAAATTTTTCATTCTTTTTCAACCACTCATTTTTCTAAAAAAAATATTATTCCCCCCATTTTCATTTTCAAGTAATGGGCATCAAACAGGGGCATGGTACCTTTTGAATTGTGCTATTAAATTTAACAAAATAATATTTGTTAAGTTTTGATTGTTTTAATGTAAACAATAACAATTTTAAATATTCGAATTCACACTCTTCCTTTAAATTATACAAAACTTGACAACAATATTATTTGATGAGATCTATTTATTCTTATAACATAATTATATATGTTCATTTTGAACAAAATAATTATTATATTTATACTTTAGGCCTTGTTCGATTCCCCCTTTTTTTAAAACTACATTTTTCTTTTTTCTTTTTATCCATACATTCTTCAATAAAAGAATATTACACGTAAATTCAAAAATTTTCTTTATTTTTAGTCACACGTTAAGACGTTTTCCATCAAATCACCATTCAAAAATGCATTTTTTGAAAAAAAAAAATAGATACCAAAAGGACTTTTAATATTTTATTACGGTCAACGGTAGATGGTCAACGGCCGACCGTGCTGACTCAAATTTCTGGATTCACCACTGCTCAAACCTTTTAAACACTAGTAGACTTTGCCCTAACATTTCATTTGTTACAGTCGTCACTCCAAACATTTCCAAACATTGCATCTAAGGTCCTTTTGAATGGTTTCCGTCAAAAATTCTATCAATTAACCATCAAAATAAACTTTGACCACCTTTTAATCAATTTTAAAAGAAAAATGGTAATTTTTTATTTACCACATTAAACAATTAAAAAAACTTAAATAAAAATAAAAAGAAAAATGGATCTTCTTCTTTCCCACCCCTCCCCTCAATCTAAAACAAGCAATAATAAATCCATTGTGGACGCCGCCATGGAGCCATGCATAGTTCGCGAAGTCTTTGCCATGCGCTGCCTCGACCTCTACCCCAACATCCTGAAACTCTACAAAGTCATGGCCACCAGAACCAACATCTACCTAGTCATGGAGCTCACCCCCGATGGCAAACTCTTCGCCAAGCTCAGCCGCCAATGCAGATTCTTTGAATCCATGTCGCGCTGCTACTTCCACCAGCTAGTCTCTACCTTCCTCTTCTACCATTAGAACGGCATCGCCCACCATGACATCAAGCCACAAAATCTACTCATTGACAATAAAGGGTCCCTCAAAATCACAAATTTTGGACTCTGCTCTGTCGATATAGAAAATGGATGGCCAAATATATACAGCCTGCGGCACACCAACGTATATAGATTTCAATGAACTTGATGTTGTCAATCATTTGGGGGTCGTAGGAAGGAAATTTGATCCAGCAAATGAAACAAAAATTACTACGAGGGATTTAGGGTAGGGTAGGGTAGGATAGGGTGGGGTGGGGTGGGTGCGGAAGAAGGACATCCATTTTTCTTTGGAAAACCCTTGTGGTACATAAGGGTACCACAAGGGTTGGTACATAATGGTGTCCACACCCTCACATGTACCAACCCTTATGTACCCATAGACCAACCCTTTTTCTTTTCTTTTTCTTTTTTGGTTTTTTATTTAAGTTTTTTAATTGTTTTAATGTGGTAAATAGAAAATTACCACTTTGCCCTTTTAAATTTGATTAAAGGGTGGTCAAAGTTTATTTTGATGGTCAACTGACAATTTTTTTTACGGAAACCATCCAAAAAGGCCTCAAATGCAACGTTTGGAAATGTTTGGAATGACGGCTGCAACAAATAAAATATTAGAAAAAAAGTCTGCTAGTATTTAAATGGTTTGGGACTGCAATTATCCCTAATATTTATAGAAGACTGACATGCGAGGTTTCATGAATCCCCACTCTTCGCTTGCGGTGCCACATTCCACATTTCTCTGTAGATAAATTACTTTTCAATATTTTAACTATATAAAATAGCTAATATTAAAAAAAAATTAATCCTATCTTCTTAAAAGTCTTGAATCCCTCCCTAATCAAATTATCGTAGATCACGCTCAAACTCATCACAAATCTAAAATCCTCGTTTCCTTTTTGAACTATTTTCTTCCTTGTAAATGAATCCATAAAAATTGTACAAATTGTTGAATTCACATATTTTGCATCTATAAAAAATTGTTACTATTCATAGTGAAGTATTCTATAAACTTTAAATAATGGAACTCCTCAATTATTATACGTTACATTTGGATTTAGAGAGTAACATGATTTATGAAGTCCAATTGTATATTTTTCAATGGTGTAACTTGTCAAATTCTTAATGTCCAAACTTTTGTGTTATTTTTCCTCGCTGACTCTACATTCGATTTTCAAACACCATTACTTGATATGGGCGATTTGAAAAATAGGTCTGATTAATGCTGAGAACCTTTGTATGTCAAAATTGGAAAACATCGGCAAGTTGCCATGTCCAACAATGCACCGGCTGACCCGGGAACGGGTTTGTCGACTTTGCTGGTTAAGTTTTCTACCAAAAATTAAGAAAATTTCTACTTTCAAGGTCTAAAGGCTCATCCAGCGACAGTAGGCATTTTCGGTTCTTGGCCCACAAATTTAAAAGGAATAGTATTCTCTTCTTTAATGTTTTAGGTTTTGTACCTCAGGTTTTCCAAATTGATCTATTTATTTGGAAGTTTAATAAATAAGGTTGAACTGCTACATAAAAAGGAAAGATCACATTGGATTTTTTTGGTTAATGCAAAAAATAATTTATTTTTGCAATAATAAATATCGTAAAAGTTAAAAAAAGAAAAAGAAAGAAAGAAAGAAAAGAAAAGATAAAGGGGACCTATGTAGACAAAGATAAATAATTGATTTTTCGAATTTGATTCAATTTATGTTATTTTTGCCTTTTTTAATTTATTTTATTAACGAGCTATAATGATATGAAATATTTAAGCAATTATTTAAGTAATGCTTACGTACATATTTGTTGTCTAATATTCTATTCAATTAGCAGTTGACATAATAAAAACTAAATTCAACCAAGTTCAATAAGTTATTTAATCTATATATAACTAAAATCGGAAATTTAACATATTTTTATCAAATTTTGAAGAATATTTATTTATTTATTATTGAATACCGGTTTGATTTCGAATGAACCTAGTCAAACTTTTTACCCTTGACCCTCCATTTTTCTCGAATCATAGTCGGGTCTATTTTAAAACAATAACTATTTAATGTGTACAAAAAGGTTATGCACTATGATACAATTGAAATACGTTGCCTTTATATTAGAATGTCACACAATTGTGAGTAGGAGATTCTCTTTTCGTTCTATTATAGTTTGAAAAGATACGTGGTCCATTACACACTATTTTAAAAAAGCAAGGAAAGTTACAACAATTTGGAATTTGATTTTATTTGTCATAAAAAATTATAACATGGTTGCTTAAAAAGTTAAAATGAAGCCCTTGTTTTGTTTGATACAGATCATTGAGTAGATTTCGATAAAAAATGATAGAAAATATATGATTAAAATCAATTGTTAATTCGACTAAAATCTGTATCAACATTTTTCTAGCTAAATCAAACATGAACAAAATTGTAAAGGTTTTGTGTGCTAATTGTTGGAAGGGTTTTTTTGCACTGTTGGTCCGTAGCATATTCACTTCCAGTGAATTCATGATCTATTCTTTGAATTTTGACAAAATCATCCCTATATGATATATCAATGTTTCGTTGGTAAAACTAGTCATTTCCGTCCACAGCTGTCCAAACAGTCCGTTAAATAGGTGTGGACTACGCATGGTTAGTTTCACAAGGACAATCATGTCCAATCTACATCTATCTACAATATATTAAAAGTGGGGATGATGGAGAAACTTTTAAATACCAAATTTACTCCTACATATTTAATTATATGTCCACTATACCCTCATAATGTCAATTTAATTAGTATTTATCATTTGGTTTAGAATTAATATAATATAAGGAGTGAAATATTTAATTGATATTTATTATTTTGGATTGGAATTAATATAATGAGTGAAATTAACATTCAATTATATCAACCAAAAAATAAAA